TCGATTCTGGTGAAAAGAGGCTAAGCTTTCGTCCGTCAGCTAACGATGGTACCTCGCTCTGATGATGTCCGTTATATGAAGGACGAAAACTTAGCCTCTTTTCACCGGAATCGAAAGAGATTACCTCGGAAACAGCGTCAGCACGAATCTTCCAGTATAGCCAATCGACAGCTGGTAAAGAGGAATCCGTCGTCGTCTTCTGGTTGAACCGACCTTCGAATCTCTTCACCCAGCACTCTCACTCGAAATGGAAGTAAGTTCAACAATTATGAAACAAGAGATTCCTCGAAACCCAACTTTTATTCGTAAATATTTATTTAGTTGAAAGTATGAATACCAAGATGCTGTGACCTTTAGTATGATCGCTGTCTCTTTCCGTTGCATAGAAGTTGTTCGACATGGTTTGCGCAACTTGGTAGCATTGTCAGGGAGAACTATAAAAACGTATCTTGACCGGAGTCCATAGTATCCGTGAGAATTTTTAGAGTCAGACCGTGAACCTGATACATTCCCGAACGTTTCTCCGATATAGTCAATGAGACTTGCCATTTTTTAGCACTACAACACAACGCGTCAGAGATGAGTAAAGTCGATTCCCTGACCAAGTGCTTAGTAAACAGTTTTGGTATCTCTCCTTCTGTATGGTGTATTCACCTATCCTATATCCCAGCAACACCCTTTCACTATCACAATTTTGTACGTGCTAGTTGAACAGATTTAGTGAGAGCTATTCGCACTCCCCGCTAATTCCCTCATCTCCCCCACTGTGCTGGGAGTGTTGATCCGAGTCTGCACTTTTAGTACGCAATCCTCTTCCTTCAGATCCTAACATAGCCTACCTCTTCCCCCGTGGGATCCCCTCTAATCTCTATGGTTCAGTGATTCCACTTTATCACTATTACAGCATCCGTGTCATTTGAGGTGTTATCTTCTACGTTCTGCCCCAAGCCTTTAATAGCACGTATAACCCCGCTTCATTTGTCAAGCCCCCAAAGTCTATTTTCTCAAGATGGATGAAAAATTAACTTAACGCTGCGATGATAATATTTTATCCAGAAGATAGCCGTCAAACCACAGGAAACTTTGGCATCTGGCCATTGAGATGCCCTCTCCTGAGATAAAATAAAGTCCTGCTACTAAGCTAGCCTCACAGTCAAGATTTGGGTATAAAAACAATCATAATAATGACGTATCTAATTTGGTTTCGATGGATCAGTTAAGTTATCATTGCTGTGAATACTTTCATTATGTATGACAGTGCATGACAAGGCTATTGGTTGGTTAATCTTACAGAAAGACGATGGCCGATTCCCTTTATTCTGCAGCCATTTGACTTCAATGCGACGTTATTGTTGACGCAGTTCATGAGACATCCTCCATATTTTTATATGATGGACATCATCATAGTGCTAACTTAAGGTTTTTATCAAAAATGAGTCCCATCATGTGATGGACGAAAGCCCAGCTCGTTTCCAGCAGAAACGTCGGAGGATATCTCGTGAATTGCGTAAACATGAACTTCGTATTAAAGTCAAACGACTACGGAACAACGGGAATTAGCTGTCATATTCCGGTGAGATCAACTAATGAGTCTCTCCATCATGCATTTTCATAAAAAATGAATTTTTTAGCAAAAATAACTCTAGTACGTTTTGGTAGCCTTAATAGACCCGCAAGTGGAAGGAATAGGGAACCAAGACAAGCAACCGAGCCCTACGTAACTGGAATTTGGGGGCATCCTCAAATCTACTCACATTTCTACATGTATGTGTGATTTAAGCCTTACTAACGGTAGGAGGAACGGTGTAAATCACACAATCAAGGGGTTTATTTGATGATTCTAGTTACTTGTTCACTAAGATAAGACATCAGAACATCAAAAAGACAGTGGTTATCATCTTTGGTGCATAAAATGGATCTTAAAAGTGCTCACGATACTTACAATTCATTGCCTATAATGAATTGCAATAACTCAGAACGCATTTATTCTAATTACTTACAACATTAGACAAATATGCACTACTTTATTTGAGTAGGAGAGGAATATAAAGATTAGTTGAATAAGGCCTGCTTTGTCCTGAAAGACATACTTGTCTTTTACCTTAACAGGAAAAAGATTGCGTTGTCCTTATTTGCGCATCCACTGCACGGATTTCGTCGAAGATTCTGATAAGACTATGGAACAAGATAGAAATGACATAATAGTCTCTTCGGATACGTTTTTAGGGAGGTTATAAAAAACGCCATCTTTCCAAACTCAGTACTTGTGGTTGTAATCGCTAACTGCTGCTATGACAACGTAAAAAACTAGTACGTATTGGCAGCAATGAAATTTCTGATAGCTCGACAAACCAAGGGCTAAAAGTACTTGTGACGCCCCACATAAGCAAATGGGAGTATTTACGCTGTTAGTGCCAAAGCGACCCACTTGGGAGACATCGCGAGTCCAACAGCCTAAGAAAATTTTGTCCCTAAATCCCATCTCTGATCTTTCTTGTGGTGTTTAATTCCAAAAATCGGTCACCAGACAGATAAAGTTTAGTAACTTCTATAAGAAGAAATTTAGATATAACTTTACAAAGGGCAATGGGCTACCTCATTGAAAAGTAATTCTCGTCTTTGCTGTTTAAAAAGATCCATTTTCTTTACGGCAACCAAGCGTTGGGTCACTCTGACTCGAGCCAGACACACTGTTCCTGTGCTGCCTTCACCAATCTGACCAAGGTCCTCGAGATTGCTGCGAGGGTCGCCCGGCTCTACTTCGCGGCTGAGCGCTTCTCGGAACTGTTAGTCCAAAATATGATGAAAGTATGAAGAATAAAGGTTTTAGTTAGAGCAAATCTTGGAATGAAAAATGAGAAAGAAAGGGGGATGGAGAAGAATAATGAGCGAGCTCTGAGTTCCATTACAACCAAGGGGGCTGGTGAAACCCAAGTTACTTTGGAGCTTTTAACCAGAAGGCAAAAATTTTTTTAGAAATGATGGGCAATAAGATGCAAACGATAAATCTTCTTTCTGCAGTCACTGTCACTAGATTATCTTCATGCTTTAAGTTACCGGATCAATTTATTATGAAGTTTATTCCATTTTGGAAGCAAATTTTGCCAAAAAGGCGACCACGCAGAGATTTGGGTATATTGTAGAAATAGTTCTATTCGGGTAAGTTGTAGGACGATTATAAGCAAAATCTGGTCAAATTCGGGAAAACTTTCTTTTTCACGTCGTTCCTGTGATAATAGCCTATAAACAGATACTTTAGGAGAATTCGCCTGCCTAGTCCTTGAGCCCCAATGAATTCTTGCTATACAAGTAAGCTTATCTGAAAGCAAATGTCTACTCATCTGAAACTCTCATGTAAGAAAGAGCCCCTAATCCGTTGGAAGAGTTTTTATCGAGTTGATGTAGTCATAGTTCCGAAAATATAAGTTTTCATATTTATCTGTAATTCTCGAAAGAAAAATATATCACACTATATCCTTTACGCTTAGTTAAGGACAAGTAGCAACGAATTTCCCATTGAATTTTCACTTAACCTTGACTCCGAAAATACATTCTTAGTATTATTGACTTAAGCTCTCTAAGAAAGGGACCTAGCTCTGACGATGCCTGCCATTTTGGAGGACGAAGACCAGACCATTTTTCACCTGAAATGGAGAAGGAACTCTCATGGACTGTTAAACCGAACGTCATAGTAAAATCAAACGATTACAGTACAATGGAATCAGCCGTCTTCTTCAGCTTAGTTCCACCATGGCATCATTTAATTAGGCACTTTCACATGAAATGAAGTTCATCATAACGAGTCAAATCTAAACGAAGAAAATTTTGACAAACTGAATTGTGTGTCTACAAGATTGCTGGCCCTACCAATTTTACGAATAGAGCAGAATCATAGACACATTGAAAAACCCCTAGAGACGTCAATAAACTGTCTTGGAAGCATGCAGATACAGATTTTGTCATAAACCATGCTTATCATGGAAGTAGAGAATTACGAGGCCTGACATGAGATCGGAGGATGACCTGGCTCGTTCGCATGAGTAGGAGGGCCACAACATACCACATAAACTAGCCACAATCAGCATATATTCAATAAGGCAATCCCTCAAAGCGTAATACGATGCCATTCTGGACCGATATGATAGAATTAGCAACAAACACTTGGAGAAAGAAAAATGTGAAGCACCACAAGCGACACGCAGCAATACTAGAACAAGAAGACTCTCTATGAGGAAGATGGAAGCATTCTGCTGTCAAAGAGACTAGCTAAATGGTGTTAAATTGGCGGAACACAGTCAGTCGGGAGGTTAGAGAACCGTTCGGCGTCAAGCGCATGAAAGTGTGTGAAGAAGAGATTAGAAAGTCGATCTCATTAGAAAAGGATGGTTGAATCTCGTTGTACTGCAGCCGTTTGGCTTTTACACAATGTTGAGACTGACTAGGTCCACGAGACCTCCTCCGTCTTTTCAGGTGAAAGCGGCACAGCTTTCATCCATCAAATGAGGGACATGCTGAGAGTTGGGACTTATTCTTGAAAAATACTTAAGTTAATACTAGGACAAAAATACTATCCGGATCTAGCTTACCTCTTATATAGTCTCATTTAAGCAAAATAGAATTTGAAAACGAAAATTGATATAAAATGGTTTTGTTAATTATTTTTATTCTGGTCACCTTTTTTGGATGGCGGCTCAACACCTTCTCTCATTTAATCTATTAATCAAGCATAAGTAGTTCCTACTCAACTTTCTTCCATCTCTCTTCACATTCAACGTATTTCCTAAGATATTAATTTAAATAGCCTCTCTTATCTTTCTTTTAAACACAGACGTACCATAATCAGCAAACCTACTAGTTTGACACCATTCTATTTCATGTCCAGTTTCTACCATGTGTTCGGCTACTTCTGACCGTTGGATCCAGCTACATTTGCAAGCATTTTTGTGTTCTCCCATTCTTTGTCGAATAGGTCGGTATGTCTCGCCAACATAACATCGACCACATGAGCAAACAATCTTGTAAAACTCGGGTTTGATAATGTATCATACTTCTCCCTAAAAGATGGCATAACAGAAGAAAGTGTGCGGGTTTCTTTAAACACTATTTTTATCCTCTGCTTCTTTATTAATTCGCTTATATTTTTAGGGAGAAATCATGACGGCAAAATTAGGACATGGGAAAAGGTCTCAGTTTGTCTATCTTTGACTAAATTGTGTTCGTCCAAAAATTTATTGGTATGAAAGATAATTAGCCAAACCACGCTATATCGATCTAGGTTTTTAATTTTCTTTTTTTTAATTGAATCTTTATAAGAGATAAGATAGAGTCAGGTAGTATTCTTGCCCTAGTGTTAACGTTAGACTTTTACAAGAATAAAACCCAGCTATGATGATGTCCATCATATGATGGACGAAAGCTCAGCACGTTTACAACCGAAACGAGGGAGGAAGTATCGTGGACTGCATCAACATGAATATCGGATAAAAGTCAAACGGCTGCAGTAAAATGCGATTTATCCATTCTTATCTGGTGAGATCAACTAATGAATCTCTTCTTCATGCACTTTCCTACGAAATGAAAGTCCCCCCAACAATGTCAACTCAGGAGATTCATCAAAACCCATTTTATTTTTGT